ATTAAACTCATTGTTTCTTTTTATTTCAGGCATTTGGTATCGTTTCTATTTACACATTAGATCAGAAATATGGATATTTTGAGACGTTTAGTTATTTTACTATGCCAGTTTATCTTCATGGGCTAGTAGTTCATAAAAGGCGCGAGATAAATTATAGGTTTACTCATGAACTAAGACTAGAGGGAGAGAAAACTCGAGATAAGCTTATGAAAAATTTGTTATCAAGTGATTTTTGTCGTCATATAATTAGGATGAGAGCTTCGTCTTTTATGAATTTATGTCATTTACTAGTTATAGATGGTAGATTTAGGCATATCGTTTATACAACTGTAGAAGAATAAGTATTTAAGACACTTTACTTATTAGGACACAATGAGAGAAATTGAGTGATATTTTTGAATTTTTCGACAATCTAGAAAGACGACAAGTCGTCATTTTCATAATGTGCTATGATATATAGTACATATGGCCGATAAATTCATTAATCAGCCAAATGGATCACAAGTGCCTCCGAAAATAACCAATAATCCCATATTCTTTCCATTGTTTAAGGTATATCTATAAGTTATATACGTTTAATTAATTATTTTAACATGAGTGCATGTTTAATTAATTAGTTAATAATTAATTTTAGGATTGTATTGGTGCGATTGACAGAACACATGTACGTGTTAAAGTGTCTAAAAAAGATGCTCCACGGTTTCGTGGGAGAAAAGATTTCCCCACACAAAACCTATTACCAGCTTGTACATTTGATTTGAAATTTTCATATGTCTTAGCTGGGTGGGAGGACACCGCTTCAGATTTAAGAATAATAAAAGATGCGTTAAACAAAGTTGATGATCCTCTAATAATTCCCGAAGGTAATTAAAATATATTTAACTTCGATATATAATGTATATTTTTGAAGAAAAATGTTATAACTTAATTTGTTTATTGCTTATAAGTAAGTTTTACCTTGTCGATGCTGGGTTCATGTTGCGGGGTGGACTAATTACACTATATAGAGGTGAACGCTACCATTTAAGTGAATACTCGAGGAATCCACCACGCAATGCTCGTGAGCTATTTAATCTACGACATGCTTCATTGCGTAATGTGATTGAGCGTGCATTTGGAGTTCTAAAGAAACGTTTTCCAATTATCCAAACCTCGACTGAACCTCATCATCAGATTAAGACTGTTAATACCATTATATTTGTTTGTTGCATTTTGCATAATTATTTACAGACAGAGGATCAAACTGATGAAATCCTTCAAGAGGTTGATGAAGAACTCCGAAACATTTATTTAGATGAATGAAATATTTGTAACTTCGGGGACATTATTGAAGAAATGAGAAAAGGCGAAGCAATTAAGGATGCAATACAAACTGATATGTGGGCTGATTATATTTTGTGTAATTTATGATGTTTGTATAGTTTACGATATTTGTATAGTGTATGACATTTGTATGACTTATGATGTCTGTGTAACTTAAATATTTTAATTGAATGCTATAATTTGAAATTTATTTTGTTGTAATCATATTATATTTTTTTGTATATGATTATATTTGATGTTTTCATATGTTTTAAACAATGGTTAAGAGGAATAGGAATGCAGACATAGAAAGTAAAATGATCCACTGGTCAAATCATATAGATGATGTCCTAGTAAACTCATTTTACGATCAACATTTGTGTGGTTGTAGATCGGGTGGGACATTCACATCACACGCTATTGATTGTGTACGTGAAGAAGTGATGAATGCATTTTCAGATCTGCAAATTGATAAAGAGCGTATACACAACCGCATAAAAAATTTAAAAAAGCAATTCTCAAAATATTATAATGTTTTCAAACATGGAATGAGTGGTTTTGCCTGGAATCCAACAACTGAACGATTCGAAGCAGAAGAGGAAGTTTGGGAGCAACTAATAAAGGTAAATCTCTTACTTTATCATATGTTGTTTGCCATTTTTTATATTGTTCAAATATTAATATAGTTATTCATGTTTGGCTCAACCTGAAGCAGCGGAATTGAAAAACAAATGTGTGCAAAATTATGAGAAAATGTTAGAAATGTATGAAAAGGATAGAGCTAGTGGGTCTACAAATGAGACATCCCTAAACCCTCGAAGACAAAGGAAGAGGAGTGGTGATGAACATGGTCTGGATGCTACAAGTGAGACACCAATTATCCAAGATTTAAGTGGTAATTTTAATTTTCATAGTCTGGATAGTTCATGTGAGGCTCCAACACCCGAAACTCCTACTTCAGAGTCCGAACATGAGGTGCAAGAGTCTTTAATGCGAAAGAAAGTGAGACATTTGACAACGGTATATGAAGAGGAATATTTGGATGAAGTTCGAATTATTTCAAATTCAGTGAAAGAAATATTAATAATTGTAAAAACGCCTGTTTTAACAGAAGAGTTATATCAAGAGGTTTCTTGTATGAGATTAATCCCCTTCAAGAAACAAAAGCTTTTATGCTGCTTATGGATAAATCAAACATGACTAAAGCTTTAATGACTTGTCCTCCTGATCGGCGTAGTTCTTTCATGACTAATTTGCTTAATTTACCAGGTAATGACTAATATAACATCTTAAGTTCGAATATTTTTTATTTGTTCTTTTGTTGATTTTGATTTTTTACTTTTTTCGAATTTTCAGATAATTGAAAATGGAGGTTGTTATTGTTGAAATGCAAGACTATATTATGGTTTTAGGAACCTTTATCAAAATGATGTTGGATGTTTAATGGATGAATCTTACTATTTTGATAGACTAATTTATGTTTTGGATTGATTAATTTATATTACATGAACTAATTTTTTACATCTTTCTTTACTTGTTTGTGGACAGTATTTTACATTTTTGAAGCATTTTTAGTTTATTGTGGTATTTGTTTAATTTTCAAGTAATTTAGTAAAAAAATATAAATATTTTTCTATTATTAGATATGAATATGAAATATCTACAAATATATATATATTTACTGTATATTTTTGTTAAAAAATAAATTTAGAAGTTTGAGACTTATAAAAAAATGATTGCACATATAGAATTTTTATTGATGATTAATTTTTTACATAATATTAATTATTAAATTAACTCATAATATATAATTATTTTAAACATATTTTAATTTTTTATTTGTTAAAGTAATTTTAAATTTAATATACTAATATATAATTACAACTATTTGTCTCTAATATATAAATAATTTTATTTTTATTAAAATTAAATTAATGTGATAATATAAATAATTATTATTTATTTTATTAAATATAAAATTTTAATTTAATTATGTATAATAATTATTTATTTAAATATAAATATAATTATATTGATAAATAATTTTTTTTTCTTCACATAATTTTTTTATACTATTTACTATTACGTATAATATGTAAGAGTAAAATAGTAATTTGATTGAAAATACAACCATATCATTCTATTATCTAAACAAAAATATGCAATTAACATACATTAATATACCATCATTCAAACGTAAAAAAATTTTATCATTACAATCTCATGTTATTGTCATTCAATTATTGTTATTACTATATATTAATTAACCATCACTAAAATTTATCCAAACAAAACGTTAGGATCAAGAACAAACTAAGTTTTACTAATGGAACAATTAGAGAACCTAAATATCCTAGCAGCCCTTTAATGGAGCGGCATTATCATAACCTGAATACAGTATATGGTCTCAATAGATATCAAAAGGAGTACTTTGTAATGCCTAGACAACATATCAGCTGTGGAATGAGTTAGAATAGAAGCATGCTCAACATAATGCACCTAGGGTTTATGACGTGAAGCAATCTATAGCTAACCTAGTCTAGGAGTTTGATAGTGTAAGTGTTTATTTCTCCAAACTTAAGGAACTATTTGATGAATTGCTCAATTATGAGTCAGTCCCTAACTGCAGTTGTGGTGGGCTAAAGTCTCTTGTTGAGTATCAAGAAAGGGATGGGTCGATGAAATTCTTGATGGGTTTGGACGAGAGCTACAAAAATATTAAGGCTCAAGTCCTTATGATGAAACCCTTTCCGAGTTTGAATGAGGTATACTCAATAATGCAGCGGGAAGAAAAAAGAAGGGAGATCTCTTCTGACTTGTGCCCCAATAGGGCAATGACATTTGGCATCAAAGATTATGATAGAAATGCCAAGACTAGTGTGGCAGGAAAGGAGAAACTCTATTGTTCTCACTGTAAGGCAACTGGCCATTCACTAGAAAAATGCTAGAAGGTTACTGGAAATAAACCCACCTGCACACATTGTGGGAAGTCCGGACGCTATGTAGACGCTTACTATAAACTACATGGCTACCCCAAGGAAAATAAAAACCGTGTGAGGGGAAAGGGAGTCGTGGCGAACCAGGCATCAACAGAAGAGGGCGCTGAAACAAACGAAATAGGGAATTGCAATGTGATAACCTAGAGGCAGTTTACTCAACTCATGTCATTGCTGTAACAGAATACTGCCACTGTTAATATAGTGCAATCTCGTGTTTATGTCAATGCAGATACCAAGCAGAGGGATTAATATATGTACGATGAAAGCAGAGGGATTAAAAACAGTCCCTTGGGTAATAGACATAGGTGCGTGGGACCACATTGTCTGCAAACCTGATTTATACACTTAAAATGTGATCAGTATGGCTTCTACAATAGGGTTGCCGAATTGTGAAGGAGTCCAAGTTGTGTTTGTAGGGACTACTAAGATTTCAGAGGACCTGGTCCTTAACAATGTTATATGTGTTCTGACTTTCAGCTTTAGTCTGTTGTCGGCCAGAAGACTGGCCAATGACTCACAATATTGTTTGATTTTCTCATATGAAATATGTGTGATACAGGGTCTTCAGACATGGAAGACGATTGGAGTAGGTAGACAAGAGCATGGGTTGTATAGTTTGCAGCAGAAAAAGGGATATTTTTTATGAAGGACAGTATGCTCTTGCAGCGGATGGAATCCAAGAGGGTGGACTAAAATCTGATTTTGAATTATGGCATTATCGGCTAAAACAGGTTCGTTTTTGAAAGTGTCCAAATGTACGAAGCATCAAACTTGTGATGTGTGTCCCTTACCTAAAATGAACAGATTACCATTTGATGTTAGTGAACATAAATCTTAAAATTGCTTTGACCTTATATATTGTGATATTTGGGGGCCTTATAATGAGGTTTCATATGATGACTTAGATACTTCTTGTCTATTGTTGATGATTACAGCAAGTGTACATGAGTTTTCTTGGTCAAAAGTAAATCTAAAGCAGGACCAGCACTACAAAGCTTTCATGTTTGGGTGGAAACACAATTTGGGGCAAGGATCAAAGTATGAGAAGTGATAATGGTAAGGAATTTTTAATGCAGGATTTCCACTCAAAGAAAGGTATAATATATCAAAGAAGCTCTGTAGAGACGCCTCGGCAAAATGGGACAGTTGAAAGGAAGCACCAGCAGATTCTTAACATTGCTGGGGCTTTAAAATTTCAAAGTGGTTTAGAACTATAATTTTGGGGTGATTTTATTCTAACAGCTGTGTATATTATGAACAGGGTCCCTTCATCTGCAATATAGAATAGAACCCCATTTAAGAAGCTGTACAGGAGAAAATTGATCTACACACACATGAAGGATTTTGGGTGCCTGGCATTTGCTTCAACCTTGACAAGTAATCGGCACAAATTTGACCCGAGGGCAAAGAAGTTTGTATTTCTTGGCTAGCCACCTAGAACTAAGGGATACAAGCTGTTATACATGGAAAATGGTAAAATACTTACATCAAGAAATGCTGTGTTTCGTGAGTGGATAATGCCTTACAAGACAAAGAAAAATGATGAAATAATTATAGGAGAGCAAGAGCAGATGATTCCTGGATTAGAAATCAACAGAGAGTACAGACATGTGATTGAGACAAAAATGGGACAAGAGAAAGTAACAATACAGCAAGTGAAGAAGAAGGAATTCAAGCAGAACCAAATGAAAATGCTTCTGAAATTGAGAGAAGTGAAGAGAACCAGGAAGAAGACTGCATGGCAGAAAGGACAGATTTGCTGATTAGACCGAGAAGGTCAAAGTAGAGAAAGAAAGATCCCTGTTTGGCTAAGGGATTACATTCACGGAGAGGCAATGAATGTGGCTAAAAACCAGATAGCAGAGAAAAACTCACAAGAGACTAGAGGTAAGGCAATCCCTTTATCTTCGTATGAGCTATAGTAGATTGAGTGCAATATACAAAAGATTTGTGCTTACAGTAGACACAAAACAGGAACCAAGAAGTTATCAAGAGGCCTGCAGAGATCCTAGACGGGTGGCTGCAGTGAAGAATGAAATAGAAGCCCTAGAAAGAAGTGGAATCTGGATGCTTACTCATTTTCCGCCCAATAAAAGAGTTGTGGGATGCAAGTGGGTCTACAAAGTCAAGCATAATGCTGATGGAACAGTGGAGAGGTTTAAGGCAAGACTTGTTGTGAAGGGGTATATGTAAAGAGAAGGATTGGATTATAATGAAATATTCTCACCGGTGGCAAAAATCACCATGGTAATATTAATTTTTTCTTCAGCTATTGTAAATAAATGGCATTTAAGGCAATTTGATGTAAATAATGCATTTTTGTATGGGGACCTAGATGAGGAGGTGTATATGAAACTTCCTCAAGGATATTAAAATGGGAACAATTCAAAGGTTTGCAAGTTAAAGAAAAGTATATATGGATTAAAACAAGCTTCTAGGCAGTGGTATGCAAAATTTTCATCCTTCATTTTGCAGTAAGGATTTGAGCAGTCAATGGCAGATTGTAGTTTGTTTGTTAAAAAAACAGAAGGAAGTTTTACAGCTATATTAACTTATGTAGATGATGTAATTGTGACAGAATAATTTGGAGACAATAGAAGAGTTGAAATCAGCACTTGATGAACAATTCAAGATCAAGGACCTAGAAAAACTCAAGTACTTCCTGGTTATAGAGCTTGTCAGGTCAAAGGAAGGGATTTACATCTGCCAAAGAAGGTATGCAATTGATCTTTTAATAGAGGTTGGATTGACAGGGTCAAAACCCTCAAAGATACCTCTAGAGCAGAATTTAAAATTATCAAAGGGTGATGGTGAGCCACTATCTAATTCCTTAATTTATAGGAGGTTGGTTGGAAAACTGATGTATTTTACTATTACAAGGCTAGATTTGGCCTATTCTGTCCAGCACCTCAGATAGTTTATAGAGAAGCCAAGGGACAAACACATGCAAGCTGCTTACAAGGTGTTAAGGTATGTGAAAGGTACTTCTGGACAAGGTCTGTTTTATTCATCAAATTCTGAATTGAGAATCAAAGCATATGGTGACAGTGACTGGGGAAATTGCCTGGATACTAGAAAGCAAATAACAGGATATTGTGTGTTTCTAGGCGATTTCTTGATTTTATGGAAATCCTAGAAACAATCCGATGTGTCAAGATCATCTGTTGAAGCCGAGTATAGGGCCATGGCAATGACCAGCTGTGAAATCACCTGGGTAAAACACTTGTCAGATTTAAAGGTAAAGTATAATGAGATTGTTGTTTTATATTATGATAACAAGGGTGCACTACACATTGCAACCAATCTTATTTATCATGAGAGAACAAAACACATTGAGTTGGATTGTCACATTGTTAGAGAAAAGATACAGGAAGGTGGATTGAAAACAGAACATGTAAAGAGTGTTGAACAGGTTGCTGATGCACTCATCAAGGCATTGTCTGCAGCTTCATTGAGACTGTACGTTTTCAAGATGGGAGCAAAAGACTTGTACTCTCCATCTTGGGGGAGGAGGTGTTAAAAGATGAGAACGACAGCAGAGAAACAGAGGAGACCAAAAACAGACGGAACAAGTGACTGAAGCAGTGGAAGCGTGCACATGTGTGTGTCACGTGTGTATATATGTATGTATTCAACCAAACGGTGTCATTGTGTTTTAGGGTTAGATCGGGAGTTGTATAAATAACAAAAAGATCCATTTTTTACTTCATTTCAAATATGAAATCAGAAGAGGTTGCCTAGGATTTTCGGCTCTCTCTTTATCGTTCACTTCAGGTAACTCTTCATCTTGTTTTCTTTAGTTTCACTGCAAGATTCTTGTTGCATAGGCTTAGAAATTTATTAACGATTGTTATAGTTTGGCCATTAAACTCATGTTAAAAAAGTTAAATTTGAAACTAGTTTTGTTATCCATACTACAGATACTTCGTGATTAATCAAGGTCTATAAAGTGGTTCAAAGTCCTATTGGTAAAACTAAGCTATTATCCTTTTAAGTTACTTGGTCTTCGATGGTGGGAAGAATTTAGTTCAAGAGATTGAAGCCAACCTATTACTTTATCTCTAAGAGAGAAAGGGAATAAGTGCAACTTATCATGCTGTTTGAGACTCATTTGGGCTTTATCGTGTCATATACCTCTATGAACATGACTAAATGAACATTTGAATCTTCATTAGGAAGTCTTTTATATTGATTTTATTGTACCATATGGATGAGGATCGGTTTAAACTCAAAAGTTGTTGGTATTGACTGTTTAGAGCCATATCTCTTTATAATTGCCATTGATATTGGGTTTGAAGTAGACTCTCAAAGCCTGCTGATGTGCATTGTTTGCTTCAGCCATGGTTAGAGCTTGTTCTACTGCTTTGTTTTCCTCGACTTTCGAATGGTTCTTTCAATTTCAGGATCAAAAGGAAACAAATCCACTTTTACAGCTCCTTGCATGCACTAAAAAAAAAGACAAATAGCAGAAAAGAAAATCTACTTAAGGCTTAACTAAAGAGCAACTACTCAATTAAGGTATAAATAACATTAAAAATCCTTTAAGCAAATTCTAAATAAATCCTTAATAACAGTGCCAAAAACTTGATGCAACAAAATTAGAACTAACATGCACATTAATCGTTCAACTAACAAAGGGTAAAGTATAATGCGGTAGACTAGCCAATAGTGATAAGAGCTTATTTAATTTTTTTTTTTAAAATATGAATTTTGTGTGTTTTTTTTTTGAAATGGGTAGTTTATTTTGAAATATCTAATTTTTTAATATAAGAATGTTTGTATTTTATAATAGTTGTCATATTAAATTTTAATATTCTTGTTCTTTTGCAATATACCAAACCCCGACAGGCTTATGACCACTTGACTTACGATTGTAGTGGTAAGAATTTTTTTTTATTTAATGATTCTTTTTGACTACCAAATCATGTAAGTTCATAACCAATTGAGTTGTTCAAAGAATTACTACTAATTGTTGGCAACTATCACCTCCACTTCTCTTTCGTACCTACATGATTTTCGTAACTCTACTACCTTTTGCTAATTAAAAACTCACTGATTAGAAGCTTCGTTTGGCATAAAAAAATAACGAAATCTCTTCGGACAAGTATGATGAATAATGTTGTAGTTGATAAAACTCATTGTATGATAAGGAAAGATCGAAAATGAGAATAGAGAGTCTATTTTTCTTTAAAGTTAGTACTTAGAGCTGAGTCAGTGATGTTAATGGCTAGAAAGATCCAACGAGTTCCAGGTTCTTGATGACAAGTTAGGGAAACCTTTTTATGGAGACAAGACAATTCCACTTACATGGGTCAGTGCTCAAGTTTCATGAACCGAGCTTTTCGACTCTGTCTGCTGCATATCTGATTTGAAGAAGCATGGAGAGGTTTCAAATATGGATTCCAAGGAGACAAAGAAGCATAGAGAAAGAAACAAACAAATATAAATATTTCTTTCTTCATATTATCCTCGATACTTTTCTCCGTTAAAATTCATTGGTGTCATTTATGTCTAGTGACCTGATGCTAACGTGGTATTGACATAACCTGGTGTTTCGACCTTCATCTTAAAGAAGTAGGCATGGATGTTACATCTGTATGATGTCAGCTGCTACATTGGCGTCATTTTTAAAGTCATCGGAGTAAACTTACTACCTCCCTTATTCTCTTTTCTTCTCCATCGTCTTTATCCCTATTACTACATGCCTCTAAAACTAAAAGACTCATCCTCTTTTTTCTCATTCCTTTTGTGCCCTAATAATCCAACATTAACTTTCCTTTATGTACACAATCCTACTCTCAGTTGTATTCTTCTTCGAAATCATAGTTAGAATTGATGACACACTCTTTCTTTGAACAAACTTTTTTCTCTAAACAACCATAATTTTTATAATAAATATAGTAGCGCCCATTTACACATACTTATGGTAAATATGTGCAACACTCCTCTTTTATTAAAAGATGCATACTAAAAGAAAAAATATTTTTAGGTAGGTGTTGTACTCCTTTTTATAGTTTATTTTAACAAAGATAAAAGAGTTATAAATAATTCTTAATCAGAAGTGTATTATGTATGATACGAGCAAATGACTAAAAGGTCCAACGACAAATTAAGATCCAATAACAAAGATAATTACAAGCAAATGACCAAAAGATTAGGGACTCTCGAGTATTTCATATGGGAGACTCTTTTTGGAAGAGTTATAATTGAACACTTCTCTCTTTTAAGGCATATTAATCATATGAATAATAAGGGTTCTAAAAATTTAGGATTCTTGATTATTCATTTTGTCACAATCAAACACGACTCTACTTATAAATGGTTTTCAACTTCAAGCAAATCTCATAAGAATTCAAGAATCCTTCTCAAATTAAGTATGATTGGATTTCAAGAGATTTATATTATCAAAAACCGAGAATTTTCATCAATTTAAAGTCCTTGTCAAGATAAGAGAAGAGTAATCCTATTATTACAAGTTTTGACTGGGATTATATTATTCTCATGGTAGAAAATTCTAGATTTTCTCTTAAATTTTTTCTTGGATTTTTTTCTTAGATTTTCTTATAGATTTTCTCATGGATTTTCTCCTAATTTTTTTCTTGGATTTTCTTCTAGATTTTCATCTTGATTTTCTCATGGAAGAGAAATTGTTTTCTATTTCAATTTGGAAGATTTTAAAGCAATTTCAACTCAACTTTTACAACAATAATTAACTAAATATTGAAATTCAAATCCATATCAAATAAAGTATGGAGAATTCAGCAAAGCACCACCACTTTTCAAGAGAAAAAACTTTATTTTTATTATATTTATACTTCTTTAAATTAATATTTTATTAGATTCTTAAATAAAAATGTAATTAAAGTTTATCTAGGATTTAGTTTTTGAATTCTAGTAGAATTAATAAGACTTATGCCTATATAAAGGTCTTATTCCTTTAGTTGTAGAGACATTGGAGTTTGAGATCAATAAAATTAAGCTCTTAGCTTTAGATAGTTGTTGGCTAAATTGCTCTTTAGAGATATGTCTTCAACCTTCTTGTTGAATGTTGAATTGATGTCTACTTATTAAAGTAATTTGTGGTGTTTTCATCAATATTTTTTTTCTTGGATTGATTTTAACTTACAAAAATATTTCATATGACGTTCTAATCAAGTCATTTATCCCAATTACTTTAGTTCTTAATCACAGATTGATTGTGGATTAAGTAAAAATGATTTATTAGAGATTTAAATTTGTGCATGCTGATGTTATATACGGGTTATTCGATTGCATTGTTTATCCCGAATTCTGCATCAATGTAAGAGGTAAGAGAAGCTAGCGATAACCAATTTAGTTTTTGTTTATTTTAAAATAATTAAGATGAAACTATCTAGAAGTTTTGAATTTTTATGGAGGATTGACTATTTAAATTCTATAATAAAATTATTATTGTAAATTTGAATTCTATTGTATGATATTTGAAACATGTGCAAGCTCTTTAAACATGAGCAAGCTTTTTGTTACTTAAAAATATTTTTTAATTTTAAATTTTTAGATATATATAAACTTTACTTACAAAAATTAATAAAAAAGCACTATCCTATAGTTGTTATTTTTACAAAACTCCAATAAACCAAAATCATTCTCCATTCACATAACAACAATACTTGATATCATCATCATAAGAGAAAGTTTCCACTTTAAAGTAGTCTTCCAAAAAAACAAACACACAGTTTAGAATAAAGAGAATGTCAAACTGTAGATCCACTTTAATAATAAACAACATAGCTAAGGTAGTTCTTTAAATAATATTGGACCATTAATATG